GCAACATTTTCAAGGGAACTTGGAACAATCCGTTGGCTTGAAACTAACCTTGTTATTCACAAGGTCATATCCTACGAGATAATCCATCTGATTCAAGTTCCCAAAGATTTGTTTATCATTGGACGGTACCATAGTTAAACAAAGCATCCCCTTTACTTCAAGAAATGTGTTTGTTGATGACAACTCTAAATCAGCATCACTGAAATGAACTACAATTTTTGGTGCATCAAAATCTCCACGGCTGGTTCGATAGCACAATTTAAAGTCACCTGGTGTTTCCTTGACACGTTCCCCTTTAATAACTTCCACGAGCGCTGATTCAAGTTTCAGATAAAATTGCTCGAAGAAGAAAGTTAACATCGTCCCAGAATCAATAATAATGTAGCCTCGATCCTCAGGAAAGCCGTTTCCGGAGGGGGGTTCATAGTTTAATCTATTGGTTCCAACAGTAACACCCTCCAATCTTATGTAGTAACTTTTATAAATTATCAAGGGAGTGGACACAACTTTTGGCCCTAAAACCAAAGCATCACTACCAAAACTTATCTTACTTGGAGCATCGTATTCATCAATTTGAGTCAGACAGTAGGAGAATGTTCCACCAATGGATTTATACAACTGGCGGACCAGTGAAAGACTTCCACCTCCAAGGCCTATAATTCCAGTATTTCCAGCATCAGCTTCGTTGGAAGTGTCACGATTATCATGGCCACAACCAAACGCAACCTTATAAGACACTGATTTTCCAGAATTCGACTGAAGACTAATAGTTTCCGTAGCTAAATCTCCTTTACTGTAAGAATCATCCCTATAGGAAACAGAATATCGACAATTATCTTCATGGTCACGACTTGCATGTCCGACAGCAGTCACAGCACGACATAGATTAGATGAATACGGCAAATGACTGTACGAGGTTGACTTTCTGGGATCAAAAAGTGGCGCGTTTTGTTCACAAGTCTCACAAGGAAGGCACTGTGTCCACAGTAGGTCACTGCCTGTGTCAGCCATGACTAGGATTTCAACAGGTGGCGTTCCAATGGAGATTTTCATGAGGTATTCTCCTCCACTGGACTTGAGGACTGCTTCGATTGAGTCTGTTGTGGAAATTGAGGTTGGATTCAGGAATGCTTTACGTGCAAGTGAACGACTGAACATGCTGTCTAGACGCTCAAATTGAGTTTTATTGGGGTTGTAGAATGGTGAAAGACGAGAGTCACGATAAATAAGGTCGACTGTGATTCCATCATTACTGGCATCAATGAGAGAAATTACAGAACAAGAAACTAACAAAGTGAAAAAGAAATTGGAGTGGAATGCCATGATTGAAAACTCTCAAGGAATTATGTAGATGTTTTGATTATGAATAATGTCTCAGATACTTGTTACTATATATAGAGAGATAGATATTACGTCTTGCCATTCAAGACCCCACACAAGCCAGTTGAAGTCATAATATACTACAAATAAACAGACTTTTCCATGGAGAGAGTACGAAGTTGGGGAGAAAAGGGGCGAAGACTAGGTCGAGTAAGGCGTAATATATGCCAAAATTTTATAATATGCTCACCGTATTCAATGGGTACGTAATAGTCGTCTAGTAGGACCCATTATATATGCCAAAACGTGGTCACTAATTTCCACACAACTCGACGTACTAAATGGGCACAGACCATCAATAATTCTATTAGAAATGTTATTTTACACCAATGATATTATAATATTAGTTGTTACGCCCCGATTATTTACGCCTCGATATCGAAGTGTCATCTCACCTCTGAGGTCGAGATCAAGTGAACCCTCCGCAGCACCATTTATTCCGACCTGAAAACGACCCTTTCGAAACTTCTTCGAAGTGATATAGCGATTCTTACTACTGATCTGCCAAAGCATCTCACCTCCGAGGTCGAGATCAAGTGGACCCCGGTTAGAAGATCCGTCGCCAATTTGAGATTTGTCCTACACCTAAGGCTTAAATTGATTTGACGTCTCCATGAAGTTATTTGATGTGACTTATCAACTTTATGTCAATTCAATTAGGAAACAAACTGTCCGCCCACTCTTCAAACACTGCTGATTGACGCCTATGAGCAGACGCTTCATACCGTTAGATATATACACGCGTTCCACATCCAACGGTTCATACCACCTATAAATATCCAAAGTTTGACAAGAGACAAAGGTAATAAAATTCTTTACACAGCACTTCATAACAAGTTTATATATTCTCCTCCCCCTTTATTGATTGATTTGTGTAGCCCCTAGGTACTGTTCCGACCACCCAAACCTGACTTGACCGTCGGAGTGTATACGCCGCCACCACCACCCCGTTGGTTCCGGCCTTGTGCGCCTGACTATTTGTTAATTGCTCAGGGAGGAATATGTGAAGTAGCTTTCAGTTGGCCACGTGGAGGGATCAATTTCCGAGGCCAACACTAGTCGAGATGACACTAAATGACATTAATTGAGTTACATAATTTTATCTTTAATGGAGTCTACTATATAATATAGTCGTCTAGTAGGACCCATTATATATGCCAAAACGTGGTCACTAATTTCCACACAACTTGACATATAAATGGGGCACAGACCATCAATAATTCTATTAGTAATGTTATTTTACACCAATGATATTATAATACTAGTCGAGATGACACTAAATGACATTAATTGAGTTATATATTTTTACCTTTAATCGAGTCTGCTATATAGTATAGTTTAGATCGATGTTTAGCACAAGTGATATTAGATAGTATTATTGTTTAAGTCCAATCATATGTTAAAAATAGATTTTGGAATAGTGATTTTTTGAAAAATACGTGGTTGAAAATTGGAAAAAAATTTTAAATTTACGTGTAAAATTATTTTAATTAGAGAATATGTAATTGAAAATGAGTTTGAAGAAAAATACATTATTGAAAAATAGGACTCAAACAATGACGTAACTCATCACTCTGTCTTTGACTTGTTCAACATGTAACATTCAGTCAAATCAACATCATTCTCATGTAGGAAAAAGCCAAACGACCCGCGTCATTGACACTCCGGTGACCGTACCCTCACATGGTTGATATGGGTCTCTTATGAATAAAATAATCTTGACCCCCATGTGTGTGTATTATATCAACCATGGGATTATCCATGCGGACTATGTAGCTCATATTTTTCAACAATTATTAATAAATTCATATCCTTATCTAGATACCACCACTTAGATGACAAAATAAGCTATTCATTTGTGAGGTAGAAATAATATATTCAGAGACGATACTCCTAAAAAATTTCAATTTTAACAAAGAAAATTTATCATAAAAGTCATTTTTGAATTATTTCGTCAAAAATTCCAACCAGAAAGTTCTCAATAAAAAGTATTTATCCTTAATATTTTTGTAGTAAATCTGATTCGTGCCCGAGCTATCTCTCCCGTTGATACACAATCAAGTTAGAACTTAGGAGGGAAGCTTACAGAAACAAACAAGACCATTTCTGCAACAATTTCTACGTCAGTTCTTGTGTTCATCTTGATTGCACCGTGTAAAAGGAAATCTTGGAATTCGAGTCAAATATCAATAGTTACAGATACTTTAAAAAATACTTTCGATTCAAAAATCAATTGTTGCAATGTGAAAAACTTTAAATAAATATAAATATTAGCATAAATCAATGATCTAAGACCTTCGTATTCTATTTATTTTTCATTCAAACTCGTATAATCCCTGCATTCTAATTAAATCCCATTTAGTATGCGAGGAAATAAGTCATTAACTGTTTGTGCCATCAGGGGCGAATCCAAGAGTTTGAGTTAGCACGGACGGCCATTGACCATCTACCGTCGATCATAATAAAATATTAAAAGTTCGTTTGATACCTTTTTTTTGGTTATAAAAAATACATTTTTGAACAGTGATTTGAAGGAGAAAGTGTTGCTAAAATAAAGAAAATTTTTCAATTTGCGTATAATATTATTTTATTGAAAAATGTGTAAATGAAAAGAAGAGAAAAAATGTATTTTGAAAAAAATGGAAATCGAATAAGGCCTAAAGTTTAAATATAACAATTAATTTGTTCAAATTGAACATATATAATTTTGTTATAAAAATAAAGATGACTCATCAAATGACATTGTCGCCAAATTTTGCATAATTCAAAGGAAGGATGCTGATTCTAATGTTTACAATTGTACTTGGCTTAAAAACCTAATAAATATTTTTTGGCAAAATAAGTGACACAGACTAAAAAGTACCACAGTGGTTAAGTTGGTAACTACCTTTGTGACAGTGTAAAAGTTCGAATCCCTTTGTCTCCATCATTATAAAATTTTTTGTAAAACTTGTAGAATAAGAATAATGCACAAAATTCCTTTAGTAGGAGATTCGAACGCTAGACGTCAAATATGAATATGTAACATCTAACCAGCTGAGCTACTTTAATCTGTTGCCAACAAAAAAATTTTCTCCCGACGGATCCAGCACGCACGATCACAGATGTAACACAGCAAGTTGCTTGCTAAAATTTATCTTCAAGAGTTGCATAGAGTATTATTGTTTGAGTCCAATTATTTGGTAAACGTAGATCTTGAAATATTGATTTTTTGAAGAATGTGTGGTTAAAAATCGGAAAAAGTATTAAATTTAAGTGTAAAATTATTTTATTTAGAAAATATGTAATTGAAAATAAATTTGGAGAAGAACATATTATTGAAAAATAGGGCTCAAACAATGACATAACTCATCACCATGTCTTTGACTTGTTCAACATGTAACATTCAGCCAAATCAACGTCATTCTCTTTTATTTCAAAGATAGACAACAAATCAAAGTTTTATAAAAATTTATGTACTAAAATTTTAATAAAGACTTAATTATATCTACTGAAACCCCACATATTTCTAGGGAGAACTAACAAATACTTTTGCTACAATGGAAGTTTGTGATGAAAAATGTAACGTTCGATTTTTCCGTACTCTTGCTACTCTTAAGCAATCCTTTATGAATTATTCTCAACCCAACAATATGAGTTTTGCAATAAAGTTGCAGACAAAGTCATCAAGAACACTGTACACAAGTACATTGTACACAATCTGGTTATGGAAAGAAAATAAAAATTGTTAATAATTTTTGTAAGTGTCTTCATATTTGGAAAATGTTATTGTCAATATCATCAAAAATATTATCTCAATATATACGACCAAATTAATTTATTTATTGACCTCCAAATTTAAACATGTATCAATTCTTATTATACTCATTTTAATTTTAGTCAATATGTAGTTAGGTAGTAATTAGTCATCTTATTAGTGCATTATTAATGAATATGTAGTTAGAAGATAGCATGTTTGGATGATATGCTTAAAAATAATTAAATTTACTTTTAAAGTAACTTTATGATTCCTAACATATTTATAAATATTAAATTTTCCTATTATTAAATAAAAAATGTCTTATTCCAAATGTCAGTCGAACGTTATTATTAAGATAAGTAGTTTATTTGGAACATTAGTCACCATAAAAGTTATTTACGTACAGGTAGACTGACTTAATATGTAAATTTTTTAATCTTAGTGAAAATGCTAACTAGGGATAGGCTTGGACTAGCCGAGATTTAAAATAAATAGTAAATAATTAAGGAAAAATTTCATATTTAAGAGATGAAGTTTGACAAATTTCAAAATTAAGAAATAAGGTTTATTATTTCAAAATTTAGATATTAATTAAATTTTATTTATACAATAATTAAGTACGAATGTATTTTTATTAATCAAATATATTAAGCTCACAATGGTATATAATTTATGGTCACAATTACAGATATCACAATCACAAATCTTATAGGCCACAAATTATTTCTCGATCACAAATTTATCAAATTAGTGAGTCACATATTATTTTTGAATCACAAATCACAAATTTTCTAGATCACAATTTATGTCCTCATCACGAATTATCAAATTATTGATCACAAATTACTAAATTAATGATCACAATTTAACATATTTTTATGTTACAACTTATCTATATCATTAGTCCGGTCACATATTAACTAATTTATTGGTCACGGTCTATCAAATAATTGGTTACAAACACGTTACCCACTCCATCTCACCCACAACCACTGCACGATCACGACCAACGTAACCACCACCTTACCAGCATCACCACAACCTCACCACCGTAACCAAAATCACAACCATTATCACCCAAACAGCACCATCACGAGAGCACAAAAACCACCTTAAGTTGCTGCGTCGTGATGCCGGAGTTGAAGTCGCCGCTCTCATATCCTCGAACAAGAGATGACACCGCCACTCGCTTCTATGTTTTGTGTTTGTATTTTGAAGCAACAACAAATGGGGTAATGGTTTGGCCCGATCTTGTCCACACCGCATTGTTGTTGCGTCAATGCTATGAAGGAAAAAGAAGAGAGAAGGAATGGAGGAAAATAATTAGGGTTTGGGTGGATGGAGGTAGGGTAGGTATATAGATTAATTTAATTTTAAACTATTATTATAATACTAAAATGTTGAATTATCAACTGATTTTTGCAAAAACAAACTTTAAATCTAATTTTTGAAATGATAACTTGAAAAATCTGGTTCTTTGTAATTTCCACATAATTAAATTGTTTAAATTCAGCCAAAAAATTCATTTTAGCCCAACCAACCTCAATCTGAGCCCCAACTAAATATCCAAATTTAGTTAAAGGCTTCACAATCATTATATATTCATTTCATTCATATTCATGTAAGATGAACAACTCGTTATCGAATTAGGTATTTTGTTTCATGTATGTTTGACTAAGTTTAAAATGTTCACTTATAATTAAATAAGTAAATTTTGTAATAAAATTTTATTGATGAAAGCTAAAAATAAATGATTCATTTTAACAGTAAGAGATGATACGTGTTTGGCTAAGTTTAGAAGTAAATATATATATTTTTTTATTTCTATGGATATTTTTATATAATACTTATTCATATTTAAAGTATAAAAACTTACTTTATTTTGACCATTAAATGATATTATCAAAATAACTTATTCTATATTTAATTTTATTGGAAAAAAAATATTTGTTAAAAATTTACATATTTATAAATTAATATGATTAAACATATACCATTGTAGTGGGCCAAACATGGACGGAAAATAAATACAATTACTTTGGACATTTGTTATTTCTGGTAGGTTTTCCCACTTCAGGTGACATTAGAATGTGTTGGTTTAAAGGACTAATGCCATCATCAATAGTATTTTGAACACAGTAACGCACAATCATGTATTTTTTTTATTGTGCGTTTTGGCAAAAAAATTTAATTGTTTGGAATGATTGGTTGGCTGAGTTCTTTGGGACTTGTATTTAATAAGAGTACTCATTATGTGTTTTCTTAGGTTTTGACTGGTAAGGATATATCATTTGCTCATGTTTATCATGCTTCCAACATTTTATATTTCAGCGTCAGTTTTCTTTTTGACAGGAAAAGCTACGAAAATATAATATGACATCTTATGATTGACTCTAATTTTGTACTTGCTTGAGTATCCGATACATTTTGTCATGAATGTCATCAGGGGCGGAGCCGCATTAGGTCTCCAGCCCAGAAATTTTGTTTGTCCTCTCCATGCATGATCCGTCTTTGCATTTTCTGGCAGCCTAAACCGGCCAAGGAACTTGCCGCTGCTCCTCTCCATGCGATGCCACTTATCATCCTTTTCCTCTTGCTCTTTGCTCCTCTCTCCACTTATCTGGAGCACTCCACCTTCTTCAACCTCCACCTTCTTTAGCCCAGGAAGATCGGCCTTGAATACATGGGGCTCTGGAGTCTCTTTCCAGTCTATATGAGCATTTGCAAATGCAGAAGTTTCGCGGGCAGAACTTGGGATATTGACTACTGAACTTGAGAAAGGGAAGCCCTCAAAAGGATCCCAAATGTCAAGAGAGAATGGATCGAAAATGTTGCTGCGTCGGTTGCCAAAGAAGCTTGGAATCAGAGACATTTTTTGGATGGATTTCTTGAATCAAAGAACTCTAAATTTTTTGCAATGGCTGAATTCAAATTCTGTGATGTATGTTGCCTAGAGGGGAATGATTTATATTGGAGGACCGAGGACGATGATGATTCCCTAGAGGGGAATGATTTATATTGGAGGACCGAGGACGATGATGATTCTAGCACCATCTCGTCGATTGTGGGCAATAATATCCTACAAGCTGTCTGTCATCATCTTCGACCGAAAAGTATTATAAAAATAATAAATAAAATATGTTCTAGAGAAGACTAGTGCACTCTATAAAATTCTAAACTATTATGTTATGAAAGTAATTTGACATCCAATGGGATACAACCACCTGTAGTTTATAGAAACCCAATAAATAAAGTTTGCTCAACTAAACTTTGTAATTCTTTATATCTTCTCTTCCTGCAAAACTAGTAGCAAACTCTTTAATTAGTTTTATAATAATTTTATTTTAACATTACTAACTTTTTCATTTTTAATAACTTGTCTAATTAGTAGTGCATATTGACTTAGAATAATGCTATCTACGTTAGTGCTAGAATATTAATTTATGTGACATCATCTGATTGGTTCACCCCGTTTGTTTCTCATTCTTTAGCCAAAAAAATGAAAAATAGGACTGTTATCCATCATATCAAACCGCAATATTTGACTTCCTCTCTCTTCTGTAGGTCTCATAACAGTTATATTTTTTATTCTCATTCTTATAAGAATAGGAATCAGGGCTCAATAAAAAATGAAATTATCAAGTAGGAGTTTACCCACGAGAGTCAGAGGCAGTACCAGCACCGAAGAAAGCAGGGATAGGTGCAGTCGCATTCGATTGGTGATTCATTTGATTGTACTTTTCATTTAGAGTCCGCATGATAACGCCCAATTTCATAGAAGATGTCACATTCGAGAAATTTGTTTTCTACTTTGATTGTTTGATGCGAAAGTGGGATTATAGTTCGAATTTTAAGGTACAAACACTAAAAGCATGTTTTTGATCGATTCCATGGAAATCGAATTCTCATGATTTTGGTATTTTTTTTTCCAACTTAAATGAAATTGGTTTACTTTTTTCACCTTTGCAATCAATCGGATCCTTAGTGATACTTAGCGCCACCAAAAATAGTGTTTTAACATCAATGGTACTAAATAGCATTATTCATTGAGTTATCATGTCTTGTATTGAACTTATCAACATGTTCACTATGCATTATGTATTTTTCTTCATCTTGAATATTATTAATAATCAAACTCAAGTACCTAGTGCGATATCTCTTAAGTGCAACATAATCCTACTATAAGGTCCAAAAAATTATTGAAGACTCGGAGACAACACATTGTGACCATTATCAAGCATTTACATGAAATAGAATTAATCCCATATAACTAGTGAGAGGATAAAGCTTCACAATGCTGATGTGGTACGAAAATCTCAAAAATTTTATCTTGCCCGCTGAGGCAGGAGATCAAGATTGTTATATGAAACAAGAATACTATAGATCCTTATATTTCGGGGAAAAAATAAAATAAAATAATTCAAGATTATACCTTGAAGAGTTCTACTATCCAATTCTGACAAAGTTGAAGAACTCCCAATTTTCGACTCCACTGATCCTTGCGACGCCAATTGGCCACTATTCAACCTCAGAGCGAAAATGAGCACGACTAGCCGTTGTTGTCGACAACCGAAATGGCGGTGCTATCAACAAATCTAGCTTCTTCGGTGCAGCCAAAAAACTTCTTCCGTGAAATGTGAAATTGGAGTATTTTTTTATCATCACAAAATCCATGACCCAAAACCTTGACGTTCGATATCGAAAAAAGTTGCCTGCACTGAACTCAAATCCTGGCTCCGTCCTTGAATGTCATAAGTTTAACCTTCTAAACTAGACCTCATGTGACGTAGAGCGTCTTTAATGGCATGTGTTCATTGAAAATAGAATCTGAATTTAAGTCCACCTCAATGTCTTTATCTTACTCTGCCACTTGTGCCGATAGTGGTGTAACAAATCACATAACTTCGAGCTTGAACAATCTCACCATGAAGTCAGACTACAATGATAAGGAAAAAGTTCATAGTTGGTTATGGCAGTCAATTAAACATTCAACATTGCACACATCGGACTCTCCAAAATTTATAGGGACATTCGCCCACAAAATTATATAACGGCGTTCTATATTATTCACAAATCATTGACGACTTTAATTGGTACTCAAGGATATTTCCGTCACAAACCTGAGGCCTTTTGTATATTTATTAAGGTTAAGGCCATGGTCGAAAACAAACTCAAAAAGGGCATCAAGAGCATTCAAAGTAATTAAGGAGGGGAGTATAGACCTTTTCGGCTTTCAAAATGACAATTAGTTTATCGCCAACCGTACGCTTGATCTTCGTTCTATATTTGCCCTTAAGGATCTCAACGGCATTTGGTATTTTACAGGAATTGAAGTTCATCGCGATGGTAATGGACTATATCTCATTCAAGAAAAATACATTTATGACATTCTTAGGTGTTTTGTGTTGGGTAATTGCCTCAAAAGTCAAAAGTTGGAGGACTTTTATTGCAAATAATAAAATGTAATTATTGTATGGAAGACTTCTAATTAAAGTTGAGAGCAGAATCTTTGCAATACTTGGTCTCAAATTTACAGTCGATTTTGGAGTCTTGCGCATAAAGGAATTCTTGTTGAGTTAAAGGAGTTTTGTTAGAGTTTAAATTAAACTCTTTTACTTGGTTATTGATCTTATAAATAGTAAATGTATTTCATTATTTTAGGAGTGGCCAGAGAGTTGATCTGAGAGGAAAACATTGTGAGCCTAGAATCTTAATACTTTTCGTATACTGGTTAGAAAAGTAAGTGTGGTAAAACTCGATTTTTTTTATAATACTTGAGGATTGAGTTGGTGAGTAAAATTCTATATGATTGTAACAATTTTTCATATAGTGAAAAGTTTTGACGGTCCGTTTAATTTGTGAGTTATATTCTTTATTTTTCTTTGTTTGCTAATATTCTCTTGAACAATAAAAGAAATAAAGGGAATTGGCGTAAATTTTCCAACAAGTGGTATCATAGCGTCAGGTTGTTCGGAATATCGGAGCAACGGAAAAATATGTCGTTATTGAAATATGACATGGAGAAATTTGACAAGAAAATCAATTTTGGCTTGTGACAAGTACAAGTTAAGGATTTATTGATTCAAGTTGGACTGCACAAAGCTTTGAAATGAAACTCAACCAAGAGTTCTGGCAAGATTGGCAACTCCATGAGAAAGAAAGCAACTTGTTGAAAAAAGATCCTATGCTCGTCAAATTTCTCTTATGTGAGCACTCTTCATAAAAAGAAAAGGAAGTTGTCCATTTTTCGGGGGGAATTCATTGAAATGGCTGGGGAGGGGAGAGGAAAAGTTGTGGTCAGACTGGTCACACGAGGAAAATTTGTCCAAAAGATGAAGTAGGGTCGGCTAACTACTTGGGGTCAGACAATGCGTTGGAGGACGCGGATGTGGTGCTGTAAAGTAAGATGTAAACATTCTCATGGCATGTTGCCAGTTACCATAATAGAGGATGTGTTTTAATGGTACAAGTCAGCATATCTGCACATAGCATTGACTAACATTTGATGCAAGATGTGTAGGTATGTGATGGTATTGTGATATCGATGGCTGATGAGCTCTCTGGAAAAGTCAGTGGAGAGTTGCATCATAACTATCAGCATTATTGTTTCGACATGTTGCTAATGAAATGCTCGGAGTTCGCGGATAATTCTGAGTGGTTATACTCATATGGTGGAGTATGGGACCGTCAAAGTGTGTGAAAAGCTTACCTGTTTTTTCGAAGTATAGTGATTAAAAGTTGTAGAAGAGATGACAAGATTTTGACTCGTTTTCGACAAGGTGGAAATTGTTGGGTAATTGCTTCAAAAGTCAAAGGTTGAAGGACTACTATTGCAAATAATAAAAGTTAGTTATTGTACGGAAGATTTCTAATTAAAGTTGAGAGCAAAATCTTTACAATACTTGGTCTCAAATTTACAGTCGGTTTTGGAGTCTTGCACATAAAGGAATCCTTGTTGAGTTAAAGGAGTTTTGTTGGAATTTAAATTAAACTCTTCTACTTGGTTATTGATCCTATAAATAGTAGATATATTTCATTATTTTAAGAGTGGCCAGAGAGTTGATTTGAGAGAAAAATATTGTGAGCCTAATATTTTGAGACTTTCGTACGCTAGTTAGAAAATTAGGTGTGGTAAAGTTCAAGTTTATTATTATTAATTTTTTTTTTTGTAATACTTGAGGACTGTGTAGGTGAGTAAAATTCTATATAATTGTAACCATTTTTCATATAGTGAAAAGTCTTGATGGTCCGTTTAATTTGTGCATTATATTTTTTATTTTTCCTTGTCTGCTAATATTCTCTTAAACAACAAAAGATCCTGCGGATAAATAAAAATAAAGGGAATTGGCATAAATTTTCCAATATTTTGATGGACAATGTTAAACCATGCTCGTCTCCAATCATTATCAACAAGTCACAAGGCCAATATAGCTTTGAGGTCAATAAACTTAGCCAATTTCTAATAAATCCCTACCTCACTCGTTGGCTAGCGGTCAAAACTTGTACTCCGATACCTAAAAGGTATTATTTCTCACGGTCTTCACCTAATGCCATGTGACATAATTAAGTTTGACAGGATTTTCTGATATCGATCGGGCTTGTTGTTCAGATGATTGTATATCTATAGCTAGTTACTATGTTTTTCTTGGAGAGAATCTCATCCCTTGGCCTTTTAAGAAGCAAAATGTTGTTGCTCGATCAAGTGCAAAGTCAGAGTAATAAGGTAGCTGTGTAGGGATCTCACATGTAGTTATCATTTAATATTTATATTTGATTGTCAACAAAGCAAGAACAATTGGAGATAATGTAATATATAGGATTAGAGCTAGTCGAGTAAAACGTAGAAGAGTCGGGTAAATTTTGAGTTATCCAAACATCCTTGAACGATTAAAATGTTAATTATATAAAATTAAATTTTGAATAATGCTAAGTGTACATTCTATGGTTGACATCTTTGTATACTTTCTATTGGAGTTCAAAAAGTGTTGGACAGAAAAGTAAGCGAGCATGTGTTTGTGTGTGTTTAAACTGTCCAATCATGCATTGCCACGTGGCACAATGTCAAACATTATATAAAATAGAATATACATCTAGCATGATTGTAAAATTTTATAGTGTTGAGTATTAGACATTTAAAGCAGGTAATCATAAATAATTACTAAAATAGAATGTTAAGAAATATGCTTGGTCACGTAAATGGATAAGTTAGGTGTTGGGTTTGATATTCAATAAATTCGGACAATGATGTTAAAAAGTTGTTGGGATAATTATATCGACATTATAGTGATTGGCTCGACTTGAAAATAGCTTGGGTAATTGGAAGCAATTTAATTAGAGGAGATTTCACAATGGCAGGGGTTTAAACATCACAATTCAAAAATCATGGCCGAAGTTTCATTATGTAAAAATCAGGTATTGATTTAATAATTTAAATATTAATTTCACCCAATTCAATTTTCCAATCCCTAATTTTTTCCTTATCTTTCTCTCTCTACCGTCTTCTCTATCTCTCCATATTCTTTCCCTTTTCTCATCACAAAACATGGCGAAGGCAGCAGGGTTCAAAATGGCGACGCATTGAGTCAACCTTATCGACGACGATTATGTTTTTTTCCCTTCCTCTACTCCTCTGAAGCAACCTCACTCGGTGGCTCGGTCGCATCTCTCTTCGATCTCCAGTCGGGTTCTTCGATCGCATAGTCGGTAGATTTAGATCTCGCTCACTCTCTCTGACGACTACTTATTTTTGTTTGTGGTATGGTTTTTGTTTGTGGCGGTAGTAGCGCAGGGGTGGATTAGCTGTCGTGGTGGGGGTTGTTGGATAGGTGGTGGTTCTGGTGGTGGTGTGTGGTTTGTTGGTTATGATTGGTGGTTACAGACGGTGTGATTATGCAGGTGGTGACGAGGTGGTGATCTTGAAGGCGGTGTTGGTTGCAGATGCTGTGGTTAGGTAGTGGGTCGTTGAAATTTTTTTTTATTTGTGTTCTGTGGTGATGGTGGTGTCCCTGACGGTAGTTGTGTGCGGTGGTGGTGTTGTTGGCGATGGTCGTTGGTAGTGGTGATTTGGATGGAAATGGTGGTGAGATTGTGCTTTGGATATTATTATTGTGTTTGATGGTTGGTGGCTGAAGGGCTGGTAGAGTTGATTGCCTAGGTTTTTGCTAGCAGTTGATTGGATCTGGTGGTGACGATTTGTTGGTGGTGATGTCGTGGTGGTTTGGTGGTGGCGACGACGACAGTGACGGGGTGAGAATGGTGACGACGGAGGAGGTGGTGGTGGTGGTATGTGATTCACCGTTTGACCTGTGAATAATGTGACCATAAAATTTGATAATTGTGGTCAACAAATTTGAAAATATGTGACTAATAGATAATCTGTGACCTATAATTTTTTATCTGCGACTAATGATGAAAACTGTGATCTGTAAAATTTTTAATTTACGACCTCAAAATAATCTGTGACCAACAAAATTTTTGATTTGTGATCATAAAAAAATCTGTAACTAATTAATTTGATGATATGTGATCAGTAAATAAATATGTGACATATAATTGGAGATCTGTGACCATTAATTGTGTAATTGTGACTTTTATTATATTTAATTATTAAATATTTTTAATTAATTAGATAAAAACTTGATTTTTGCATAATTAAACTTAACCACCTTAATTTTGAAGTGCACATACTTAAAACATGGTTTGTGAATTTTTCCCATTTAATTAATTAAAGTTGTTCATGGCCCAATTCACTTTTGGATGGCCTGTGAGAGTTAGCCCAATTGTTATTAGGTTTGGTGGTGATATGTGGTAGTCAATTTTTAGAAAAAAATCATATATACCCCCATTAAAATAAAAATTCTAAATGTACTACAAACTTTGAATATATATATATATAAATTACTATGTAATAATATAATTACATTAAATATATTGTTACTTGGAATTGCTCCCATAAAATAATTGTAATTGAGAAATTCAAAAACACCCCTCATTACAGTGCATTTATTTCATTTCCAAATCAAAGGATATTGCAAAAAACTACGGGTCTTTTTGATTACAAAGACAAAATTTAGGTAAAAAGAAAACGAACTCTAAGAAATTAAATTGTATAAAAATTATTTTACTGAGAATTGTCAATTATTGTGTTTGATTGGTATAATTTTTCAAATGAAAAATGTTAAAATAAAAGTATTTTTTTGGTGTTCGTTTGACTTTATTTTACATAAAAATCGTCAATTAAAATGATAGAATTTACTGGTATTGGGAATGAATTTGTTTCCATTGCCAAAAAAATTCAAGAAAATCATCTATATTTTGGTGTTCATTTGACTTTATTTTACATGAAAATTGTCAATTTAAGGATTTATTATTATTATTATTATTATTATTATTATTATTATTATTATTATTATTATTATTATTATTATTATTATTATTATTTTTGACAATTAGGGATATAATTTGTTTCCATGCCAAAAATAAAAAAAAAAGGAAAAAAATCGGCCAGCAGTCTAGAAAATGAATGAGAAGTCATTTTTCTCAATCTGGTGAAAAATGGATTAGGTGGCATCAAAGTGGGAAAATGAATTCCCTAAAAAAAACCTATCAAATATTCGTTTTTGATTTAGGGTGAAAATCTAATTTTTTTTCATGGAATTCAGGTCTATCAAAGATGGCCTAAATGGAGAGTGGACAACGCATATGGGGGAGAATCTGTGACTAGGTTTGATACATGTATTGGATAATTAAGTGGCTTCCAAAAAGTAATAAGAGATTTTAGGTTAGTGTTCTTGTTTCCAATTTTGAGAGTTCACTTGTTTTCAAATATTTCGTAAAAATCAATAACATGTACATGATCTCAATCTTGAAGCAAATTTGTGTTTATTGTAGTCCAATAAAATATGACTGTGTGTACTATATATGTAAATTGCATGTTATTGTCCTTCATCGGACATTTAGATTTGCATTTTTATCGTAACCATGAACTTCACTAATCTTTTGGATATGTTTGAAATTGATATCCTTTTTTTTTAATTAAAATATTGAAATGGCTCACATCATCGCATACTATTTGTTGAAGATTAAGAATTACAAAAATTCTATGTAGGAATAATATGGCATTGTGTGAGAGTCGGGATGCCAAAACTAATTGAAGTGGAAATGGAACAGAGGAAATCAATCTCACACGCGCAAGAAGATGCATTAATTAAGTATTGTGTGAAGAATGTGAAAATTTTGTTCAAGATTACTGTTGGAAATACATATCCTAGTGGTTGTCTATTTCATCCTCATTCAAGATTACTTTGTGAAATACGTACACAAATGGTTCTCTATCACTTGTACAAACCTTTTTTCTTTTCTTGTGTGAGGCACTGAGGCTCGTTCATATTTTGATAATTTGAATCCAGATTTAGTTGGACCTTGAATCAAGGAGTGAAAAAATATTTTTGCCTAGCATAAGTTCAATTTATACTACAGATATGTTTTCTAGTTGCTTTTTCAATGGGAAGGGAAATACGTTTTAGTGACCGTACAAGTGAACTTCTATCTTACATCTTGTATGTTATAACATAAGTAACAATTGCATGCTCTCTTTGTTCGTTTATGATGAATCCGAAATTATAATTTGATTCTCATTTAATACAAAGTATAGATGGCACCTTGCAAATACCAATATTCTGTTGCTTCATATAATGTTGCATAACATTGTCATAGCTGGTTTGAGAACCTCCTTATATCATCATCATGAATACCAATCTATAATATTTATTTCTCAATGGCATACCTTCTTAAAAAAACGTATTAAAATATACACGTGTCCTTTCTAACTCTTGAAAAAATGATATTAACAATTTAAACAAATCAAAGTGAATGAAAACAAATGTAAGTGAAGATGAGATTAATGATAACGAGTTGTTCAAGTTACACTGCATGAACATCCATTCCACGTGGAGGAGTGCACCCAAAAAAAAAAAATTGTTCGAGCAATCACCACCCATGCGCTATAAGTTTGACGAAAACACCTGGACAATATACATACTATAGAAGTTTACGAAATGAAGTGATTTTTTAAATATCTTATAGGCATTCTTGGACTTCTACGCCTTCATCACACTCATCAGCGTTAGATCATAAATGGTTTCATATTGATTGATGCGCTTTTGGTTGCCATGTTTGTATGGTTGAGAAGCAAAGTATGTCCTCCTGCTATTTGAAACAAAGTTTCTTGGCATATCCAAGGTTGTCTCATTGGTTATGAATTTTGCATACTTCATCACAAAAACTTTGCATATCGTGGCTACAATTATTAATAAAATATGTAATGTCAGATTGTATCTCTTGATGCATTATGACAGGTTAAACTGCAAACTAAATTGGATGAAGAGTTAGCTAAAAGTGAATCATTGGAATAGAGAAACCATTATACAACATATTAGTGAGATGTAAGCAAGATGGCATATAATTTGATTTTACAACATCACGACCATTGAACATATAATGTGTTCAATGAACATTGCATGGTATGCTAGATATGACGTTCGGAGATGAAATCTTATAATAGATATGGTAGGTTGCTCTATAGCAACTTATAATGAAATTGAAGATAGAGAAACAAAAGCATCATACACTCAAGTAATTCTCTTAAATCACATATTTTGCTGTGTTGCTATCGTACAAAATCTACTTGTAGTTTTCCTTTGATAGATGAACCAAACTTCAATATTCATACTGAGGGGTCCAATAGGTATCTAAATGGTATCGATTTCTGTAGGAATTGGTTCAAATAATTAACCAAAAATTGGAAAATGAAAAGGTATATAAAAGTGAAAAATGAAAAGGTATGTAAAATTGGAAAATGAAAAGGTGTGACTACGTATCAACTTCGATCAAATATTTGGACTTGATCTGATGGTCAAATTACAAAAGTAAATAGACCAACTTATTCTACTCGTCGAGCAGATCGTCATGGTATATTTGGAATCTCAAAACCAATTCCGGATGAATGAGAAATTGCGGTCCAAAGTTGGAAAAAATAAAGTGTTGCAACTTTTCGAAATGATGCAGATTTTGGCCAATTGTTGCAACTTTTTGAAATGATGCATATTTTGGCCCACACTACTTCATTTGCACCCTTTTTATATCTATAAATAAAACCTTATGGACATGGTTTTTGGTACACCATTGAGCATTCATTCTTCTCTTGCAATTCTCTTCTTTCTAATTTTATAGCATTCTCATGCATTTCCTTGGTAGAGAGGAAATTTCGTTCGAGTTCGCTGGTCGAAGTCATTTGGAGTGCTCCTATGGCTTGACGTGGTCGTTGTATCTTGGGAGATGATTGTCGAAAAACCGTTAGCACCGATGCGGGGCAAATTCATCTTAAAGATCAAGTGTCAAACACTTGTCTCGACAAAAAATTCATCACTTGCATCTTTTTTCCTACAATTTTTTGATTTCTTTTGATTATATTTGGATTCCGGGAAATGATTAACATTGTTTACATGTCTATGTTGCAAGATTCGATCAAAATAATAATTTTCTTTCGTTCAAGAATCGAAAGAGATGAATCCATATTCATGCATTCAGATTCTATAACTTTTATGTTTTGCTTCTCAAATCCTATTTCGGTAAGTCGAAATTACGTTTCGATTTCACGCAAATAACCGATATGCTTTTGTGAATATAATATGCACGTAATCGGTGTGATTTCTCCAACAATCTTAAGATGAATTTTATTTTTGTGCATTTTATATTTTGTTAAGTAAGTTACATGACTTGATTATGTGGCTTGATAACGTATAAAATCTATTTTATATGCCTGACTATGGAATTGTACGTGTATGCATGTGTGAGATTTTTAAATTTGTTATTGCATGAATTATTTACTATTCATGCCATTTTAACAGTTATACTCCATTGGGTATTATTTTGATTAAGTCTAATTCATTCACGTATCGATTGAATTCCAAGAATTCAGTTTATTTAAAAGATCTAATTATGAAGGGCTTGAGTTCTTTTGTCTTCAAGCTATGGTAGTTTAATTTTCAAAGCATTATGTCTATTCCTTTTCTTAAAATATGGTGAATGGCATGTGAATAGATACTTACATGAAATTATACATTGAGAAAATAATGATAGTCAAATATTCTCTAATTTGGGTTTGTTAAAATGCAACATATTCGAGATTCAAGATAATGAATAACTTTGGTCTTGTTTTATCTTATGCAGACACTTCTTTGTATGAATGGTTATACTCAAACCAACTGCCATTAATCGGAGAAGGCTGCCAAACCAAATTTAATTTCTTCCATCCTTCTTTATTTAACAGTGGGCTTCGAAAACACGTGGGTGAACAATTTTCATCTGTGTTGGTTGCTGCTATTGGTTTTGGAAGTGCATGGTACAGTTTCGACCATTGTTTAATTTAATTAATTGTAATAGTGGCAATTCATGTTGTGATAATGAGATTGCAATGTCATCTCTTATAATATGGAAGTGCAGAGACTCCCTTGAGACATTGACATTCTTATAGATGGAATACATTTATACAATGGATGTATAAATGTTTGGAATATAAGTTGCTATTCCTTCACTTTGGTCATGATAAATTGGATATTGTTAAAACCAACTCGAGTTCAATAATGAATGGATAGAAATAACGAAATTATTCCTAACCATTGGACATATAAGGATGCCAATTATTTGATGAAAGTTATGAACTTTCATGACAATTCCTTTGATTAGAATATGATAATGGCATGGTAATTTAGTTGGTTAAAATTTCATATCTTATTGAAATTAAACTAACTTTGACTATGGTGATAGCATCAATTAATTTCATAAAATTAAGTGAGATAATTGAAGTGGATATCATTATTTAGTAATGAGAATTAAGCCACTTAATTATTTGAAATCGAAAAAAAATTGCATGGAAAGATGTGTCTTTTCATATGGAGAATCATGACTTTTGGTATGATTAATTTCCAATGGGTGTGTCTCTTTATAGAGATTAATTCAAGAGGTATGTCCTTTTATAGGATTGCGTCTTTTGAGAACACAACTTTTCAACCGATGGTTGAAATGAAACTATCATGTGAAAGGTTACAATGTGATAAGAGAAGTTGCAATTTTTGTGAATCAAGATGCTTAGCCCTCTTCACTGTTGAAATTGACTTCAATTGTGAGACCAATTAAATTGGTTTATGCTTGGAAAGCATTGATGGTCTATATGATGGTCTTGATTTAATTTGGATGATTAAATTAAAATAATTGGATTGAAGTACGTTATATACAACTTTAAATTGAAATAAATTGTGAGCCAACGACCTCTATTTTGAAAGTATTTAGACTTTCACGAAGCATTAGATAAGGATATTATCTAAGAGATAAATGAATAGAACTATAAAAGAATTGCTGAATTCTAAGTTCAAGTATAACCCAAGAATGTGGGGGGTTATCATAAATGCTCATGAACTTGAATGAAAAAGTTTAAAACTTATGGATGCAACGTTACTAGATTGCATATGTATTCTTAATTGAAGAATTGTAGGGGTAACTCAGTTTAACAGTTATGTTTGCTTCTATCTTATCATCAAGAACGATATCTATGAAAGTGAAAAAATAGAAAACCCTTATATTAATTATAAGGATGATATATACTCTAAAGTGGATGAAATGGGTTGTAAAGCTAATTATGGCGTTTGTTTAGACATGCAAGAGCAATTGGAATATATGAAGAATATTCATAAAGTTCAAATGCATGGTAATGCTTCAATGATGATATTTGTACCCATGATTCTGAAATTGATAAAGTTTTAGATAAATCCTCCAACCGTATTTGGAAATTGATAAAGTTTTAGATAAAGCTAATAAGAAGTATGTAGTTTCATGAGAGGATTTCTTGGTGGCGATAATTTGTATCTATCAAATGAATCGATCATTGGCTAGCAATAATTGATAAGATACTAAGTCACATGTAATGGTAGGTCTAGACGTATAAGTCATAGACATAATACCATTAAGCAGTTGATCTCAATGGTGTCAACTCGTGGTACCTTTGAAGAGATTTACTAAAAGAGATCAAGAATATTGTATATCGAAAGGAATGAGGTAAAGCCTACTACATTAGAGTCCTTGTAATGGTTGGAGATCCCAATATCTTGGTTTAAAGGGACAACTAAGTTATGAAGATTCCACGAAGCACCTAGGAAAATAATTTCCTAACTCATTCCCATGATATTTAAGTGCTTTCTGCAGAGTTGCAAGAGGTTAAGATAATCTTTTAATGATTCCTATATCTTGATTAAGTCAAGTGGAGTAGGGCAGAATACTCTTAATAGGGGTCACCTATGTGAGTGTGAGGTGTGGCCGCTTCAATGAGAATCATTCAAGGCTTAAATTCTCTAAACACTCGCAAAATCAAGAAGGGTTCAGGGCTAAAATGAACCAAGTCATGAGAATCATGAACGATTTAAGGAAGACATCGTGTGAGTATCGTTGTCTTGGCTTACACTAAAGGCTGAATGGTTCAAGACATCACGTTCACCAATTAACCGAGTAAGTCCGATGGTATTTCACTAAGGGAGGTTCAAGGCCAGAAGCTACCTTCCCTAATGCAGTGTTTTTTCGCACCCTCTCTACATTGCATCATATCGTCGCATTTGCATATGCATACCCAATTTCCATTCATGTGGGGGATTGTAAGAATTGGTTCAAATAGTTGACCAAAAATTGGAAAATGAAAAGTGTGACTACGTGTCAATTTCGACCAAATATTCGGACTTGATCCGATAGTCAAATTACAAAAGTAAATAGACCAACTTATTCTAGTCGTCGAGTAGATTGTCGTGGTATATTTGGAATCTCGAAATCAATTCCGGATAAATGAGAAATTGCGGTCAAAATTTGGAAGAAATGAAGTGTTGTAACTTTTCGAAAGGATGCAGATTTTGGCCAAGTGTTGCAACTTTTTGAAATGATGCATGTTTTGGCCCACACTACTTCATTTTCACCCTTTCTACATCTATAAATAGAACCCTATGGACATGATTTTGGGTACACTAATTGCATTGAGCATTCATTCTCCTCTTGCAATTCTCTCCTTTCTAATTTCATAACATTCTCATGCATTTCCTTGGTAGAGAGGGAATTTCGTTCGAGTTCGCTGGTCGAAGTCATTTAGAGTGCTCCTATGACTTGATGTGGTCGTTGTATCTTGGGAGATGATTATCGAAAAATCGTTAGTACCGATGCGGGTTAAATTCATCTTAAGGACCAAGTGTCAAACACTTGTCTCGACCAAAAATTCATCACTTGCATCTTTCTTCCTACAATTTTCTGATTTCTTTTGATTATATTTTGATTTCGGGAAATGATTAACATTGTTTACATGTTTATGTTGCAAGGTTCGATCAAAAGAATAATTTGCTTTCGTTCAAGAATCGAAAGGGATGAATCCAAATCCATGCATTCAGATTCTGTAATTTTTATGTTTTGCTTCTCAAATCCTATTTAGGTAAGTCGAAATTACGTTTCGATTTTACGCAAATAACCGATATGCTTTTGTGAATATAATATGCACATAGTCGGTGTGAATTTCCCCAACAATTTCAAGATTGGTGAACCTTAGGTAGTTACCAGAGTAACAATTCATCCGTACAGGTAATGCAGTAGACCATAAACTGCTTCGATATTCTACAACCGTAGACAAATGTCAAGGCCTTACCTAGAGATGTTGTGTGCATTAAAGCAATAACTAGGATCCACCATATCTAAAATGGAAACAACTAATCAATTATTTGAAGTTTTGAACGATTACGTACCCATTAGTAATGGTGAATAATGTCAACCATCACAATTTGCTGTATCCACTGCGAGGCGAAATAGTGCAGCAACGTGGAGATCTTCTCCCAACACGACTATAACTCCTAAAACAAGATGTTAGTATGGTGATATCTGATATCATATCTATAAGAAAGAAAGCCTCAAATATATAGTAAGTAAATGGATTGAAGAAAATGATTTTGAAAGATCGTGAAGATTTTTAGAGTTTGAATATTGTTGAGGGCAGAAATTAGGGAATTGTTCTGGAAATAATGAGGAATTTATCGTTGAAAATGAATATTAACATAAAATTCTTGGAGAATTCTATAGATGTTTGAAAAGGGATTCGGGTTATTGATGATGATTGTGAGGTTTCAAGCTATTTTGAAATGGATTTTGAGGGCAACTAGATTATGACATAATAGGGATCAGGTGGCTGTAATTGGAGGATTTAAGATGTTGGTTGAGCAAATTACTCCTTTCAAATTGATATTATTTTATGGTGAGGAGATGGTTTTCATTTTTCATTTTTATTTTAATATTGTAGTGCTGTTTGAAATAAAATTGATAAGTTGTATTTTGTGAATAATTTATTAAAATGAGGTACGTGGTGTAATTTCCACCAATTTATATTATTTTTGATTTTGGACGATTTGGTAACTTTGCCCAATTACTTACCTTTAGCCCAATTAGAGGTGGCCTAATAGCCTGGGCTATATATCCATCTTTCTCCAGCCGTGTGTTGTGTGGTGTGGGTGAGCATTAGAGTGAAAGAGAGAGGGGTAGCCAACTTGGGTGAGTTTGACATCAACCGTTGCTTCCTTCTCCTTTCTCCCTTTGTGATATTGTTACCACCATTACTTTATCTTTTGTGGGTGTTTTGAGAGAATGAGTGGTTGTGTGTTTTCGATGTGCATAGAGAGAGAACGTGAGTGTGTGACTGTCTTTGGTTTCTTCCCTGAGTTTCCAATTGCCTTCTATATTCTCCTCCTTTGTGTATGCATATTAATCATCATTTTGGACCCTCTAGATGGCAGTGGATCAGGCTTGCGACGCGGCACCCCGTTTCTTGCCCTCTTTTTTAAATTTTCAAAATTTTGAGCTATATTATTATTAGAGAATAAAGTACAAATTCAAAATTTTAAAATCCAAAACAAATAATCCTCAAGTTAACAAATTTTTTTCCTTTATGGGGAGGCCTTGTCACGCCAACCCGTCGGGGCAGATTTTTTTGGCCCCATTCGAAACTAGGCGGATTTTTTTGTCATCTCTATTGGACCCTTTGAGGGTTAGAAACTTGAAGCAACCAAGTTTAGAAGTTGTGGATCGAGCTAGCTTTGGTTGGTGTGTGTTAGGTGGTTTTACTGAGCCGAAATTTCACGCTAGATCGAAGGATTTTTGCTTACATTACATTGGGAAATGAAAATATACATCAATAAATGAATATAGTGAAAACGAAAACGATAGTGGATAAATTGTCACACTGGGAATAAATGAGATAACAAACGACAATATCTTATTGATATACGAGGCTTTATAAAAATTATGTAATTTCAAAAGAACATGATAGAAGGTGGAGACATAATTAACATAGCAAACTGTAATTGTTGAGGATTTAGTTTTTTTAGTCTTTAAAATCTTATATATATAATAATGAACTAAATGACTATGTCCTAAATTTATTAATGACAAAATTTAATTTAATATCGTTTAAATTCCAAGACATTCCTAAGTCTTTTCCCCCCAAATAAAATAACTATTTTTAGATCTTGATGCCATTAACCCATTACACAGAATATATACTCGAGTCCGTTTGCAGAAAGTGTACTCAAAATACATATATTTTAGCATCATTTGGCTATGTGTAATACTATTTGCAAGCGCTCCCTATCGCAGTCGACCTACATAAAATACACGTGACGAGTATTTATTTGTTGCATAAGTTAATAAAAAAATATCACATTAATATATCAAATTGCTAACCGCCACATATATGTTATATACGATAATTAAAGCAGTGAGCAACTGCGAATAACATTATTCTTTGATTATAATCTTTTTATGTGAACTTTTATGTGCTATCTAAGAAATGCACCAAAGACTCAACATTAATTGAAATTGTTGCTCTTGCTTTAAGCTGCTTCATTCAAACACGTTGCCGCAAATATTTCCTATACAAAATTATTAAATATTTTTCTTCAAGATTAGTAAAAGGATAGAGAAATCAAAGGCATGGGTGTAGTAAACAAAGCAGCCTAAAAATGTCCCTTTTCTTTCGGCTTTGAAAATAAAATAAATAAATGATTAATAGTTTAGTTGTTGAAGAGGTAAGAGGGGCAAGAAAGTTAAAAGTTATTTTTTACATCTTCTACAAACTTTTCACTGACAATAATATTATTTAGGGTAATTAGCACAAAACATCATTACATTTTAATGTTATTGTGCAAAACGTCATTACCTTTCATTTTTTTTGACATTTTCACTCCTATTTTTACGTTTCATTGCGGAAAGTGCTTTCAATCAATTTCTAAATAAAAAGTAAAGAATTAATCACAATTATACTCCTACATAGGCTGGGTGTGGTTTGGTTTGGGTTGATTTTGACCTCAACCCGAAACTAAAACCAAATTAATCGGTTTGGAAAAATTTCAAACCAAACCAACCCATCTCTAGCTCTTAAACCAAACCAATCCAAGGTTTGGTTTGGTTTGTCGGTTTAGTCTTTGAAATATTATCACATAATAAAAAATGAAAAGTCATGCAAAAAATAATATATGGCATTCAATTTAACCACTCACATTGACATAGTCAATAACCAACACATAACCATAACAAAACCGAATCTTCATCAAGCTTTTTTCCATCCCAATATAACCCAAAGTCAAGAGTAAGAAAATAAATTTTACATTAGAAGAAAGAAACTCAAGCACAAAAAATAAATTTTGTTAACATCTAATGTATAGACTCAAGGAAAAAAAAATGTCCAGGAAAGTGAAATCGAAGTTCCAAAAGTTGTCTACCAAGCACGGCCATCATTTTGAATCACCTTCACCTACAAAACGTGGTAACTTAAATTATATTTCATTGTAAAGATATCATCAAATGCGATGCAAAATAATAAAATTACCTTACGCAAACACATAAAATGACTTATTTATCTTTGATGTTGGAATCTTCATCCATTTTCGATACTTCCGAAAGATCTAAAAAATAAAATGATTCAATTAGTAGTAAATGAATTTGAAACACGTGTAAATAACACACTTAATGAAATAGTTAATTAATAATTACCTTCATCCTATTTATTATAATACTCTACATCCTCCATGTAAAATTTGTCTTCGCTTGGAGTAGATTTGAGCCAATTTTGAGTGCAAACTAAAATCTCGACCATCTTAGCAGTTAAAGAACTACGAAATGGGTCTAGAATTCTTCCCCCCATATTGAAAGCACTTTCTGAAGCCACCGTAGACACTTGAATTGCCAACACATCTTTTGCAAGTTTGGACAATGTTTTATACTTACTTCTATGTACCTTCCACCAATGAAGGACATCAAACTCCTCCTTCTCTATATCTTCACAAGTATCCAATAAATATCTTTCCAAGTCATTTTTTTATCTCAATTGAATCTTTTACTGCTTGTTCCTTAAACTTGGAAATACGAGTAGAAGATGCAGTACAACTGGAACTAACTTGACTTGTAGAAGATGACCCACTTGTAGATGTATCCATCGATACTTGACTACTTTGTGGACTTCCCTCATATATCACATACCGGTCATAAAATAGAAAACAAATTTTCGTTCAATGTTTGGGTCATTGTACAAGCCATTTTTTTTAATTATAAATATCACAAAAACAATACTGAACATAATCCAATTTATACATGGTTGTGGATTGGCTGGTTTGGTTCCCCACCGATTCGAGCCTTCAAACTGTGAACCGAACCAACTCAATTCGGTTTTGCTTAATAAAAATCAAACCAACCCGAACCGGTTCTTTTTGATTGGCAGTTTATCTGGGTTTTTGTCCAGTCCTTTTTAAAAAAATGACAAATAAGTCCAAATAAATTATTAAAAGGGTAATTTGCACAAAATGTCCATACCTTTCAATATTATTGTGTAAAATGTTTATACCTTTCATTTTTTTGCATTTTCAATTAAAAGCTGTAAAATGATGAGTACACCCTCCTATTTAAATAATACAAAAATAAAGAACAAATTGTAACTATACTTCCAAATTTTTCAAAAAAGTACAAATAAATAATTAAAAACAAAAATTAAAAAATATTATTTTCTTTCTTTAATTATTTATTTGAAATCTGTTTGTACTTTTTTGAAAATTTTGGGAGATGTTGCAATCTGTTCTTTATTTTTTATTTTCTTTATTTTTGTTATATTTATATAGTAGGATATATTCATCATTTTACAGCTTTTTATTGAGAAGATGGATGAAAATGATGATTTTCACAATGTAATATGAAAATAAGGGTGAAAATATCAAAAATAAATGGTACAGATGTTTTGCATAGTAATATTAAAAGGTATGATTGTTTTGTACTAATTCCCCTTTTAACAATTTATTTGGACTCATTTGCAGTTTTTAAAAAATTGAGAGTATAATTGCAATTTATTCATTAATTCTACTATTCTTTTTTTTTTTTGGCTTTATTTAAATAGGTGTACATATTTGTTATTTTACATTTTTTTTATTAAGAAATTGGATGAAAATGAAATTTTTCACAATAAAAGGTGAAAATGGGGGTAAAAATACCAAAAAATGAAATATAAAAACTTTTTGTACAATAATATCGAAAGGCATGGACATTTTATGCCTACTATTCACTCTTGATAGATAAAACTTCTATAAATTACGATGAAGAGATTTAAATTCAAATGATCAAAGTGACGGTCATGTTGAGTGTTGTATAAAGGATATTCCAATTTATCACTCTTACACAAATTTTAGTATTTTTTTTTCTAGAATTGCAAGGATTATGCCTTGTTTGAGCCCCATTTTTCTTTAAAATACATTTTTAACAGTGATTTGAAATTATTTCAACTACACATTTTTCAATAAAAAAATTACATGTCAACCCAAAACTTTATCTTATTTTGAACAACACATTCTCCATTATAACACTATTTCAAAATGTGTTTTTTGAGAAAAATAGAGCTCAAACAACCCTTCCCATATTTCTTTTCCGTATTCTGGGTCAATATTTTTCTCGCGTCAACGATGGTTTAAAATAAGATTTATTCGACAACATCTATGAAATTGAGGTGATATTTTATTAAGCCCTCGTGTAAGCCATATTTTCAACCACAAAAAGTGAGAATTTTGATTGTTGGAGACCAATTTCAGCCACCATATTTGACTTCATCTCTTTGAGGTGTGACCCGTGTTTGAAAATAACGATCAAATTTTTTCTACTTTCTTCCTTGAAAATATGGCTCAAATAGGGCTAAATAAAAAGTCTATTCTATCTTCAAAATAATTTCTCAAGACTTCCACAATTAAAGAGAATAAATTATCTTAGGAACAAAACATGAACTTGTTTGAGTTCAAAAATTTACTAAAAACAAAAATGTTGTTGATGTAACTTAGAACAAACTCCACTGATAAATAGGCAAGTCACTAGTTTGTGCGAAATCTACAAGCGTACAAAATTGTTGACAAGTAATAGATTTAATGAGTTAAGAGTATTATCCTACGGGAAAAAATTTCAATTCAAGTTTACTAATTATGTATGAAATTCGAATTATGTAAACAAAAAAGAGTCCTTGATTTTATTTTTGATAAATTAATCTAAGAAAGTAATAAAAGTTTGATTTTTATCAAATTATGGATGATTGTATTAGATTTCGACTTCGCTAATTGTTATCTATTTCAATTCTTGATTTGTAATTTAGATCTGTTCATGCATTCTTGATAATGAACAAAACTAATGTATTTAATTTTCTTTTCCAATAAAAAATAATTCTATTCTAACACCGAATCGAATCTATTTCAAGCATGAATTCCAATGGTTAGAATGCATTAAATTTTATTTTATTTATATGATTATAAAAGTGATAAATAGTATTCCTAACATCTATTGCAAATTTGTTAATTTTACCGCGTTCTAAATTTATTATGAGTTTTCCAACACGACAAGTACAACAAGCAACTAATTATCTAATTGGTGGCCAGTCAATTAAATAATGCAATGAAAAAGAATTAAACTAGACTATTAGTCTTGAATTAAAATAAATAAACAATAATGCTCATTCTCATTTAATACAAAAAAATGGATCTAGCCTAGCATGATTTTTAATAAGTTATTATTCGTAGATGAATAATGTAAAAATATCACCCGGATCATGAAAAATATAAAAGATGTTGATATTCAAGTCCAAAGTTGAATTATTCAATTTCTTAATATAATTGACCTCCAATTCTTGCCAGGGATCAATCTTCTCTCCCAAAAATAATGAATAAACCTCTTGTTCTTAACGAATTCGATGATATTATTGTGTGTAAAGAGGTAAGAGAGATTTTTTCCATGTTTATCCAAGTTCTCTATTTACAAGGGTCGAATTTTGGTCAATAAATTGTCCCAAAGTTGTTACCAATAAGAGTTCAAATCAATAAAGGAAATTGGCCTGTCAGCAAAATATTTGGCTCAGGTACAGGCGCAAGTATAGCTACCTCGTGCTCGTAGGCATGTTGACTTGCTCTCTGATCATGAAATTGATATCTTGCATGCGCACCAAAATAGCTAGCATGCGCTGATTTGCATCGCGTCGTCTCTTAGTAGCTTTTGATCTTCAGGTCATAATTTTCTTTTTCGATATTCGATTGATGTGATTCAAAGTATGTTGAAAAGACAACCCAAAGGGATACAATTCTTCTACAAATTTTCCAATTCAAACGCATGCTATCCAACAAATGGGTCTCCAATTAAGACTGAAAATTCGAAACATAATTGCTTCTGTTGAAAATTAATTAGTAAAAATACTTCATCTATAGGAGAATTTTTCTTTATTTTTTAATTATACATTTTTCAGAAAATTACTATTATAAAACTCATTCTCAAAATTGAAAAAAAAAAAAAAAAAAAGGATTCAACGCGCCCGTAATAAAAAATTAATAAACAATTTCGTCGAAGATCAATAATCAACAAGACAGCGCAATCAAAGGCATAACAAAAAGAAAGATGCCGTAAATAAAGCCCGCTTTTGCTTTCGGCCACGAAAATGAAAGGATGATAAAGACTTTAGCGTTACGTGCATGTTTAGATTTCCTCTAATCTTTTTCCTGTCAAGTCACCTTGTTAACAAGTTATTATAAGAGTCAGGTCTTGCTAGGGAAAAGTAGAATTATAATATTTTTTTGGTAGAAGTAATGATCAATGTTTTATCTTTAATATCCAGTCTATAAATGCTGAATAATATTTTTGGTAATCATCAATGAAAATAAAAATAATAATTATTCTGCTCGAAGGCCTCATAAATTAGTACCATAATGGCTTGAGATGAATGAACGAAACAAAAGATAGTCACTACCTGTGAAAGAGAGCACCGTAAGTTCCATCCAAGCCAATGTACTAATAACTTAGTGATAGAATTGTATGAAGCAATCACTGTGGAGGAGAGTTTCTTGTGTGCAGAAGTGTACAGGCAATGGGGGGAACTTGTGATCCAGTTGAGGCATAACCCGCGATTTACCCCCTTCAAGGTTCTAGGGGCAAGGGTCTTGGGGGTCCAGAATTTAGTCTAGTGTAAACTGGGATACCTGGATATCAAAAAAAAAAAAAAAAAATTTAGTCATAGAATTGGTTATTTGATCCAGTTACAGGTGTCAAAAAACTTAGTGATAGAATTGGTTATTTGATCCAGTTACAGGTGTCAAAAATTAGATGAAATAGTATGACTTATTTTGGGCAAAAACAAGCTACTAAATAGAACTCATGATTTTACTCAATGTACTCAGGGTACTCACAACTGGCAGGTCCCGCATGGGACCCACCTGCATAAAAAATGCCAAAATCCCCACCCAACCCAACCCAACCCAACCCAACCCATGCTGTGAGTACTTGTAGGGGTTGTGTGAAAAGAACCCCCGTACCTCAAGCAAGGTTTCATGGGCTGATCGATTTTGTAGCCAAATTCCGTTGTTTAGGTTGTGAAATTAGCACTTATATTATTCAGATGGAAATTGATTTTTTGTTAATTTATTGCCAAGATGATGTATTTCCTTGTTTAGTTTAACACGAGATTTGCTTAAATTATTGTTTTAAGAATTTGTCTAGTAAATTAGAATTTCTCGTTTTTTTTGGGAAAAAAAAAAAAAAAAAGCCAAAAGGCTTCATTGTTATTTGATTGTTTTTTCAATAAAATGTGAGTTTTTCAATTATCCCATGTACTTGGTATTCTAACGATTAATGAATATTTGAGGGCTAAATCATCAGAATTGAATTGGATCAGCAAGCGTTTGGAGTGTTAATCATCTTCTACATTATTTCGCTGCACTAGTTGCTATTAGATCACAACAGCATGCCTACTAGAGACGATTTGATGTTCATAAAACTAGATTAAAAATATCATGCTAGATGATGAGTTAACACAACTATATTTGAACAATTGATATAGATGAAACAACTGTATTGACAATTGGAGGCGTTGAAGCAACAGATTGATGATTTTCAATCATGATGGTTTGACGGTCGCAGGGGCCTAGATGAGGACTCCAACATCTTCAGATCATATTTACATTTCTCAAAAGACTTCAATTGATTTTTGCTCCCTTGAATCCCTATTAATTTGTGAAATATTAGGTGAGGGTTATGATGGCGTGCCTATTTTAACCTGGAGGCCGTTGATGAAAATTCTAGAGGATGATT